GGATGGCAGAACAGAGTTTTTAAGATATATTGCAAAAATACAACATATTAAGCTCTACAAAAGACAGGAGGTTGTGGAAACACACGATCGCCAAAGTCCTGAGGGAAAACGGCACATTGAAAAAGAAGAAAGTGTTTGTGAAAATGAATGGCAGAACAAGTTTTAGCAAAGCTAGCAAAAAGACAAAAAAATAAGGTAGAACGGACAGGTAATTGTGGAGAGCCATGACCGACAACGTCCTGAAATGTGACAACACGTAGAAGAAGTCGAAAGTGTTTGTGTAAATGGATGGAAAAACAAGGTTTAAGAGAAATAACAAAAAAAAAAAAAAATTTATTAAGAGCTACAAAGAAGAGGAAATTGTGGAGAGCCATGAGCTCCAACTTCCTGAAGAGAGAACGGCACATAGAAGAAGAAGAATGAAGTTGGGTAAATGGATGTTAGAACAGGGTTTTGAAGAAATAACAAAACGACAACATATATTAAAAGCTGAAAAGGACAGGAAATTGTGGAGAGCCGTGATCGCCAATGTTCTGAAGGGGACACGGCACACTAAAGAAGAAGAATGCGCTTGAGTAACTGGATAGCGGAACTGGGTTTAGGAGAAATAACAAAAATATAAAATTTATTAAGAGCTACAAAGAACAGGAGATTGTGGAGAGCCATGATTGCCAACGTTCTGAAGGGACACGGCACAATAAAGAAGAAAAAGAATTCGCTTGAGTAAATGGATAGCGAAACAGTCTTAAGAAGAAATAACAAAAAGACAACATTTATTAAGAGCTACAAAGGAGAGGAAATTGTGGAGAGCCATGATCGGCAACATCCTGATGGGAGATGATACATAGAAGAAAAAAGTGCTTGAGTAAATGGATAGCGGAAGAGGGTTATTGATAAATAACAAAAAGACAACATTTATTAAGAGCTACAAGGGACAGGAAGATGTGGAGATCGCCAACGATCGAAGGGAACGTTCAATGAAGTAAATGGATGAAACAGTCGAAATAACAAAAGACAACATAATGAAGCTACAAAGGAGAATGTGGCTTCGCCAACATCCTAAATACATGAAGCGAAACAGTAAATGGATTAAGGAGAAATAATAAAAAAGACAACATTTATTAAGAGCTACAAGGGACAGGAAGATGTGGAGAGCCATGATCGCCAACGTTCTGAAGGGACACGGCACAATGAAGAAGAAGGAGAATTCGCTTGAGTAAATGGATAGCGAAACAGTGTTAAGGAGAAATAACAAAAAGACAACATTTATTAAGAGCTACAAAGGGCAGGAAATCGTGGAGAGCCATGATCGCTAACGATCTAAAGGGAAACGGTAAATGGAAGCGGAAGAGGGTTATAGAGAAATAAAAAAGACAACATTTATTGAGCTACAAGGGACAGGAAATGGATGCCAACGTTCTGAAGGGACACGGCACAAGGAGTAAATGGAAAAAACAAAATACAACATTTATCAAGAGCTACAAAGGACAGGAAATTGTGGAGGACCATGAAATGAAAGAAATGTGCGTGTGTGTGTGTTTGTGTGAATGCGTGCGTGCGTGCGTGTGTGAGTGCGTGCGTGCTTAAATAATGAATCATAGTATTTTTACCCAAGCTGGCGTTTCCCGTTATTAAGGAAGAAAGCAACAGAATGACTTTTAAAAAAACGTCGTTAATATTTATTCTGGTACCTTTTCTTTATAATTCGTAGTTCATATCGAAAGTTGTTAATATAATTTCCAATCTTCTTTGTATCGAATTAAAGGTAAATCCTAAAGTCATTTTCAAAATGGCTCGAAAGCGAGAGATGAATATAGCATTTTCTGAAATTAATCTAAGGTAAATCCTCATCCAATAGAATATGGAATCCAGGAAAATGTTTTAAGAAATTTGAAAAATGGAAAAGATTTCATTGACATTAAATTTGATAATGCCTTTCGATTTTCAAGGTACCATCAGATCCAAAAACGAAAGGAAAAACGTGTGTGTATTCATATATATATATATATATATGTGTGTGTGTGTGTGTGTGTGTGTGTGTGTGTGTAATTGAATAAATTACAAACATTATATCTGCTTATTTTTATTATAATCCTTTCATATTTACGAATATTTTCCGTATATCACAAACATTGTCTTATTTAATTAATATATATATATATATATATATATATATATATATATATATATATATACAAGGTGACAATTTATTATTAAAAACATTTTTTTATGTTTAACGTTGTTTTTATAGATACAAGTATTTAAGTAAATGCTCTGTTTATGATAAAAAATATTAAATAACATTTACCGGCCTGAATTTCTATGAAAATTTCTCGGACATTCAGGCCGGTAAATGTTATTTATTACTTTTTATCATAAACAGAGCATTTACTTAAATACTTGTATCTATAAAAAACAACGTTAAACATAAAAATGTCTTTAATGAATGAATATATATATATATATATATATATATATATATATATATCGTGTCAGCCGCAGACATACTGTTTCGCTGTGTCACAGCTCATCATTGATGCTAGCCAGGATTGAAACCCAACTGAATTGGCGTCTGTCGAGGATTCCACCACTAAACCGTTGGCGAACGGCAGGGATGAAGGTGAATTTAAGCGTATTTATTTTTAGATAAACACACAATGACTGAGAGAACTCGATTCGATTTACCGAAGAGTCTTGCATTATTAGCCGTAATAGTCACTGTTTACAAACCCATAGTTCCTCCCGAGAGAACTCAGCCGAAATATTTTTTTATATATATATATATATATATATATATATATGCTTTTTCCTGACCGCAACAATCTTTACCTGTTCAAATCTAAGAGTATCCGATATCTTCCGGACATATTCGCATAAACTGGGCCTCTTACTCTATAACGATCTATTTGAAAGAAAATTTTGATGTTTTTCTTAATCAATTTTCTAAGTCTATCAAGAAATTCATACGTGAACTTGAAAGGATCACAACCAAATTAAATCGACATGATATGTCTAAATTATTTAACCATGCTGCCCAATATATATATATATATATATATATATATATATATATATATATATATATATATATGTGTGTGTGTGTGTGTGTGTGTGTGTAATTAAATAAACTTAAAGAGCCAGACTAACCTACCTAGGTTTCACCTTCGCGGATCGTCAGTCCGCCCTGACGTTTCGTAGGTGAAACCTACGTAGTTTTAGTCTGGCTCTTTAGGTTTATTTACTTATTTTGCTCTACTTAGCGTATTGAGTACTTTGTTTAGTTAATTACTTTACTCGTGTCGGAGGTTTTTTCTTTGGACTCTGAACTTAACTTCTAGACGATTATTTTCGCTGGCGGTACATGTTCTTAGTTCTTTCATTTTTTCCCCTTTTTCTCCTTGGGTATTAGTTTGTTCAATTACAAGCTAAAACACCTAAGGTTTTGCCGGACGAATATAGCTGCTTACATTTATAAGGTTTTATATATATATATATATATATATATATATATATATATATATATATATATATATGATTTTAAGATGTACTGACACGACTTTACGAAACTTACATGATCTGCTTGCGACGCTTTCAAGAAAATGTCTGTTCCTATCGATTGTGTTATAGACTAAATGATGGTTGCTGCTATTTCAAAACCAGCGTAGACATATAACAGCGTACACTTCTATCTGTTTTGGGAGATATTTTTATTATATTTTATGGTGGGGTTGTCGTTTAGTTTAGTCTGTACTGTAGAGTCTTCGATCGAAACAAAAATGGCGGCGCCCATGAAAAATTGGCGTCAGACACTTTGTATAAATTTACTTCCGGTTATTGCCAATTTCCTATTTTACCCCAAACAGACAACAATGTTATAAATATGCCGCAGTGAAAATGTTAAATGTATTCATATATTTTCCTTTTGGGGCTAGTCTTTTGCATCTCAGTTTTGCGAAAGACATTACTTGTCCAAAAATATTACCTCCATTATGTTTAATAAATATTATCACTGAATTTAAAACTCTATCGTATTGTCAACTTTAATACTTCATTTTTTTTTTTTTTTTTACATCTTTGAGTCAGAAAAATATAATTTCTATCCATCAAGTATACAATTTCATATTTCTTTTGGTTCTCGAGAAATGAGGAATTGCATTCAGATAAGATATTTCCCATGACCTAACTTACCTTCATTAAATCTGTCGCCATATTAGTCTCAGGAATTTAACGCTAGCTAGGATGCCACAGAATCATAACAATGGCAATTTAATATTATTGATTTCAGTTAAATCATACTCACCAATGAAAAATGGTTATTTTATGTTATTAAGAGTTATTTCATGAAACTAAATCACACAATTCATATAACGTTATTACAGATACATAAACAGGAATAGACTGATTTGCTTTGTTGATTTTCTTTAGCGGCATATCCATATGTATGTGTTATTTAATGCCGAAATCTAAATATTTTGTAAGTAATTTTATATTTTCAACAACAGATATTTTGTAAATAATTTTATATTTTCAGGTTGATTTCGGTTGGTTGATTTTGTCTATGGGCATGCCAACACTTCTATGGGTTATTTAATGCCGAAATCTAAATTTATGTACGCAATTTTATGCTTTCAACAACAGCTATTTTGTAAAAAATTTTATACTTTCAGCTTGATTTTGGTTGGTTGATTTTGTTTAGCGGCATGTCAACACTTCTATGGGTTTTTTAATGGCGAAATCTAAATATTTTGTAAATAATTTTATACTGTCAGGTTGATTTTGGTTGGTTGATTTTGTTTAGCATTAATATTGTGGATCACTTTATAATAAAAATGTACTCTTGATTTTCGTTGGGGGATAACTATTTGCCCATAGTTGGGACCCTAACTGGTGCTACTACCCTGGGTCAGAATGGACATGGGAACGACAGCATTTAAGAGGTCACACTCCTCAAAACCTGGAATCTCTCGATCAGAGGTCTTGTTGACGGATGTAGTTTATCGTCAAATTAGTACGAAGGGATAGATAGATAGATAGATAGATAGATAGATAGATAGATAGATAGAAAGATAGATAGATAGATAGTGAAGATAGATAGATAGATAGATAGATAGATAGATAGATAGATAGATAGATAGATAGATAGATAGATAGATAGATAGTGAACAGACTGAGGGGGATAGATAGATAGATAGATAGATAGATAGATAGATAGATAGATAGATAGATAGAAAAGGCCGTATAATTGCAAAGATTGATTGGACAAAAAGAGCGAGACATCTCAATAGCTGAAAGGACACAGTACATAAAGAAGGGAATTGTGGATGGTCATGATCACCAACGTCCTGAAGCAGCATGGCACATAGAAGAAGAAGAAGAAGAAGAAGAAGAAGAAGAAGAAGAAGAAGAAGAAGAAGAAGAATGTGTACGCCAGTTTTTATCTTTTTAAAAATATCGTGTCTTCACGTGTCATGTTTTTTTTTTTTCTCATTTTTTTAATTTTTTAAATTTTTTTCTTTTTTTTTTCATTTTTTTGCATCGCGTCTTATATCCCTAGCTAACATTCCCAACAGGTTACCGACAGGATAAATTCTTTCAACAAGTCTTTCCATTCTGATCCCATGACTGAATCTCCAGTACTGTCCACAACACAATCTCTGGAGCCGTTCCTGGTCAGGAAGTTAGCTGGCCGCTCCCCAGGCAATCCTTGGCCTCAAGCACCATCATGACGTCCGATTTGGCACTGGGATGTCCCGATACGGAGATGATCAAATCAGTGGGAACTGCTCGTCGTAACCACACCGCTCCAGCACCGGCTTAAACTATCGCGACGGAAGAACAGGGTAAATCTCAGGGATTTGATTGTGCCAACGTAATTTGGCTGAGAATGAAACTACGGTCGAAAATTTATTGAAGAAACCTTACTGCTATCTACGATCACTTCATAGACGTACATACATACGTACAGATACAATCACGCAGAATACACTCACATATACACACAGAGACACACGCACACACACATATATGTATATATATATTAATTTGTTTTTATATATATATATATATATATATATATATATATATATATATATATCGTGTTTGGGTAGCAATCCCTCTTTAATACATGCTTCGTTGAAGACTGACAAGGTAATTCGGTTTAACGACTTATGATTTTCTTTTATATATACAAGATTTTTTTAATAATTTTTCCACAAGCAAGACAATAAAGCTACTCGGACGCAAGGGATTACTGAGTGATCGAGAATATGAGAAAAACTACTATTAAAGAGAAAAGACAATAAAAGAACAAGAATTAAGAAGACAGAAGTTAACGACTGCAATTTAAATTTTTGGTCGAACAAGGAGATAACAAGAAAACAAAATTCATTAATAGCTACAAAGGACAGGAAATAGTGGAGAGCCATGAGTTCCTACATCCTGAACGGAAACGGCACATAAAGAAGATAAATTAATAAAGAATAATCATATATATATATATATAGGAATATATATATATATATATATATATATATATATATATATATATATATATATATATATAAAGATGCACATACATATACATAAATAAAAGAGAGATTGGAAGGAAAGGCATATATATATATATATATATATATATATTTGCAGAAACATTGCATTAAAAATAAAACAGAAGGAAATATTTATCAGAATATTGTGTCGGATAAAATAAATGCATATTTCATATTTCACGCTATGGACGTTCGTATCTGTCATGACAGCGTCTGTGCAGCATTTAGTGCGCGCATGCGTTGTGGGAAGGACGGTCTTTCGTGCAAAATTATTTTAAAATGTCGTCCATTTTTCTTCTCGTCTACTGTTTCCAAAATCGCAAAAATCTTTTGCTTTGAGCACAAAACGAAAAGATATAACAAATTAACAAAGAAAAACGTACCGCCTGCTTAAAAATAGCGGACATTTTTATAGATAGGCACACACAATAACAAGCTTGCATATATATATATAGATAGATAAATAGATAGATAGATAGATAGATAGATAGATAGATATAGATATACTACTAACTACTATATATACATATATATATATTTATATGATTTATACATTTATATATATATATATATATATATATATATATATATATATATAATATATATATATATATATATATATATATATATATATATATATATATATGATATACTTTTTTGTGTGTTTTTTTACAAAAGTGTCAAGTTATTTTACATATATAAAGAATATTTAATTCTTCCCTGAAAACAAATATTGGTAAAAAAAAAAAAATAATGGATCAAAAATTAAAAATAAATGAATAAGAGTCTAAAAGAAATGCAATTGAAATAAAACATTATATTTCTTTTTATTATATATTTTTTTATTTATAATTATTTGCCTGCCATGATGTTTTCTTTTCTTCGCGTGTTTCTTTTCTTTTATTTCCTTTTGTATTTCCAGATTTTTAAGCTGAAAATGTTCTTCCTTCGTCTATAATGGCTTCGCGCAATTTGTGTTCCCCTACTTTTCATATCCTTTTTATTCATTTAAGTTTTTTTTTTTTTTATAATGTTGCCAGTTCCTCCTCAGAGACAAAGGACTGGATGCGAAATCGTTTGGTCTTTGAGCGCCGTTAAGCTTTCAAAGGAAACAGCAAGCGGGAAAAAATTCGCTTGGAACTTGTTGTTCGGACACCGATAGATCAAAACATTTAGAATACCCGTTCCTGGTAAATTGTTAGCGAAACGCAAGTCACCATAAATATACAATCTGAAGTTAAGCATATGAAGAATTTTGAAACTAAGACAAAAATCTGAAAAAAATAAATTATGCACTAGAATCCCACCCACCACCGGAAAGAAATAAACTCTTCATTAATGAGGTTTTATTTCTACCCACAGTATTTTTTTAACTTCCATTTCGATGGCAAAGACATCACCCTATAAAAGAGAAGTTACGGCCATCAATGGACAAATCTCAAAGTTACTCTCAAGATTGTTTAACTTTATATTAACCCATTATAGATCATTTAATGCCGAAATTTAATTTTCTTGAGAGCTTTGAAGTAATACAAATAAGTGGTATGGTGCCCTCCCTCTAAAGATTCTATGTTGGACTCTTACGGCTACTATAAAAATAGTAGGAGAGTAAGCATTGGTGGAACAGTCGAACAGACTGTTCATTACTGTCAGGCTCTCCGCCTCGGTGGAGAGGAACCCGGACGCGGCTTTGCCGCAGGGGAGGTAGACAGGCCCTGAACCGGCATTGTGTTACATACACCATCGTGTGTGGGTGGGGAGGCTGTTAAATATTAACAGTCGAATAGACTGTTCGTAACTGTCGAACTCTCCGCCTCGGCAGAGAGGAACCCAGACGAGGCTTTGCCGCAGGGCAAAGTTTCGTCCGGGGAGGTAGACAGGGCCTGAACCCGTTTATGCGGGTTATAAGGGAATATTTTTGGCCGAGCCTACGGGCTGGGAAAACCCACGCTAAACTCGGCCTTGTGCCACATACAACCCTCGTATTGTCTGTTAAATATTAACAGTCGAATATATCTGTTCCACCTGTGCTAGTCAAACTCTCTGCATCCGGACAGAGAGGATCCCCAGACTATGCTATGTCGAAGAGCAGAGTCTCGTCTGAAACAGCTATTTTTTTTTTATACGGGGTTTATGAGGATTGCAGCCGAGCAATCGGGCTCGGATTGCCCCATTTTTAAACTCGGCCATTGCCACATCAATTTTCTTGGGAATTTTGTTAAATATTAACAGTCGAATAGAATAGCTGTCTCAACCGACACACACTCACTAGTCGTGTAATACTCTTCTGTTGTACTTACTGGTTAATATATGATATATATGCAATACTTGTTTTGTTATTTCTTTAAAAATTTACTTGGTCACAACAATATGATATATGCTATTCTGCTTGCACAACTGAATAAATGTAAAACGTTTGGTTGGATGGTCGGTTCATTTTTTTATCAACATCTATGGATTATTTAATGCCGAGATCTAAATATTTTGAACACAATTTTATGGCTTCAACTAAATATATTTTGAACACAATTGTATGCCTTCAATTTTGGTTGCTTGATTTTGTTTAGCAGCATATCAATAACTCTATGGGTTATTTAATGTTGAAATCTAAATATTTTGAACACCATTTTATAGCTTCAATTGAATATATTTTGAACGCAATTGTATGCCTTCGATATTGGTTGGTTGATTTTGTTTAGCGGCATATCAACACCTCTATGGGTTATTTAATACCGAAATCTAAATATTTTGAACTGAATTTTATGGGCTCAATTAAATATATTTGGAAAGCAATTGTATACCTTCAATTTTGGTTGGTTAGTGTTATTTAGCGGCATATCAACATCTATGTGTTATTTAATACCGAAATCTAAATATTTTGGAGACAGTTTTATGGCATCAACTACAGATAAAATGTATTGCTGATCATTTTATGGCTTCAAATAAAAATATTTAGATTCCATTATGAAATAACCAATGCAGGTTGATATGCAGCTAAACAACTGATTGATTGACGTCAATCTTTAATGGTATATCAACTCCTTATCGGTAAATTAATGTCAAAATTTAATTTCTTGAGGGCTTTGAAGTAATAAAAATATGATATATGTTATTCTGCTTTCACAAGTGAATACATGGTAGATGATACTCAGCCTTTTCATCCACTAATTCAATTCTCAGACAAGTAAATTACTTTGGTGTATGGGTCTGTTTCTGGGACATTTAATGACGAAATTTAATTTTCTTGGGAGTTTTGAAGTAATAAAAATATGATATACGTTATTCTGCTTTCACAAGTGAATACATGGTAAATGATTGGTCGATTAGTTCATTTTTTATCAACATCTATGGATTATCTCATGCCGTATTCTAACTATTTTAAAAACTGTTTTATGGCTTCAATTAAATATATTTTGAACGCAATTGTATGCCTTCAATTTTGGTTGACTACTGAAAACTTCCTCGCCAAAAGGCAGTACCTGCTCCTATTTATAGCTGAGAGGGTTCATGCTCTGTTTATAATAAACAGTATTAATAACATTATATAATATTATAATTATAATAATATTAATAGGATAAAGGTTCGATTCCTCTCGGAGGACGCATATTTTCTATGAAAATTTCTCGGACATTCAGGCCAGTAAATGTTATTAATACTGTTTATTATAAACAGGGCGTTTACTTCAATATTTGTATCTATAAAAAGAACGTGTAAACATAAAAATGTCTTATATATACATATATATATATATATATATATCATATATATATTACTGGCATTTTTACTATAAAAATGTGTTTTTAGATTTTCATAGTGTTTTGTTTTTGCTTGTGGATTCACTATTTGCCCATAGCTGGGACCCTAAAAACTGGAAACACCAGTAATTAACAGGTGGTTCGACGCTCCTCGGAATCTTCAGTCTCTCAATTATGAGGCCTTGCTGCTAGATGTAATTTATCTTCCTACCCAGGACTTATTCACAAATATATTCCATCCTACACTTGTGGTTTGATCCTCGCATGAAAAACATAACAGAATTATTGACTTCAACATCTTAGACTAAGGCACTTGGTGACAAATGTTTAGAGTTTGTAATTCTTACTTTGAATCCGATCACAGACTTCGGACGATAATGGGTATGTCTCCATTTACATAAATACAGTAGTAAATACTGTATGTTGGTCTGCAATTAGAGATTCGTCTACAGCTGTTCTGGTCAAACTCTCTGCCTGGAGGCAGAATGGATCCCCAGACGAGGCTATGTCGGATGGGCAGAATGTCGTATCGGGAAACAGTTACCTGACCCCGTTTTATATGGGATCTATGGGGAATTTTTAGCCTAGCCTATGGGCTCGGATACCCCACGTTAAATTCGGCCTTGTGCCACATGTGACCGCGTGGGCTGGTTGGTAGATATCCTACAGTTGGAGATTCATTGTGGAATTCACTTGACTCACTTCTAGCAGTTGACTACTACTTCTACGCGCCGCAGCGAATATTATATGTGTTGCTCTTGTCCTAAGTATTATCGTTCATTACCAAATTTCGCTTGATTATTCAAGATATTTTACTGGAATTTTCCGTTTATAACGCTATTAAACTCTACTTTGAGCAATAAGAATGTATAATTACTCTCAAAGCTTAGCAGAAGAATCGTGATGAAATTGATCATAAACGAAAATGACATTTTCATCATTAATTAATCATAGTTAAGGATCGGAAGTTCATGAAATGAATTAAAATTAAAATTAATATATATATATATATATATATATATATATATATATATTCCAGAATCATTTTTCCAACTTATTTATGATGATCTTCGCCCTTTCTAACCTTCTAACTTTCTGTCCTGGAGTAACAAGGTGCCTCTCACATTTCACGTACGATTTCATTTTCAGTTCTTTTTCACTGCTCTTTGAACTGTCATAGCTAAAACACCTCTCTGATATGCCAAACGTTTTTTTTTGGGGGGGGGCAGAGTTAGATCTTTTCTAATTGATCGCTTTAGCTCTAAGTTGAAATGATGATCGCTCACGCTGTTGTAACCTTCTGACCCAGTTTTCCTCTCTACTGTTCTGACTTTTGAAATTTATTCACCATTCTCTTGTTGGTTCCTGAATAGACGTTGATTTTTCCTCTCACCATTTCTAAGTTGGGAAGACAGTGGGGCTGACATATTGCAATTTTAACCTGTTTTCTTTCTAACTGAATAACTCAAAGGGATTTTCTGTGAATTTTCCGACAAATGGTGCTGAGATGGCCATACGTCTTATCTGAAAACCTTGAAAAATGAAACTCAATTGGTTTAGTGATATATATATATATATATATATATATATATATATATATATATATATATATTGTCATCCACAGACAGACTGTTTCGCTGTATCACAGATCATCAGTGTGGCTAGACATCCGGTTGCCTCTAGCTAGGATCGAACCCGATTGAATTGGCGTCAGTCGGGAATTCTACCACTAAGCCGTTGGCGCACAGCAGGGATGCAGGCGAATTTTAAGTGTATTTATTTTGTAGATAAACACCCAGTGACTAAGAGAACTCAATTCGATTTACCGAAGAGTCTTGCATTATTAGCCATAATGGTCACTGTTTACAAATTCACATTTCCTCCCCAGAGAGCTCAACCGAAATAAATTTTTCAGGAGCATATATATTGCCATCCACAGACTGTTTCGCTGTATCACAGCTCATCAGTGTGGCTAGACATCCGGTTGCCTCTAGCAAGGATATATACATATATATATATATATATATATATATATATATATATATATAGAGAGAGAGAGAGAGATTAAACATTTTGTGGGAGGGACAATAATAGAGTAACACGATTTGAACAATGTTGTTGTTAACCCTTTATATATATATATATATATATATATATATATATATATATATATATATTAAGGCAATTCATATAAAGCAAGACGGGAGTGCCACTAGTGCCACGAGCACGCAAGGGGTTATAGAGGATTAATTGTGCCCGCTGGCAATGGAAAAGTCTATCGAGACTCTGGATTCTTCCTACATGTGCTGACATTTTCTCAGTAAACACGAGTTTTTCTTACTTGAGGTGATGGCCAAACCAGAAAAGTTGTTTATTTTATGTCATTTGTTTCAAAACGGAAAAATAAACAGCTTTTCAAATGCAAATGAAATAAATTTGCAACTATGAGGAAAGAAGAAAAGTTCATAAAAAATATTTTAGATTAAATATGAAGTTAATTTTTAGTAAAAAGACCAATCGTGGTATCTATCTATATTTCTGAGATGAGGTATTATGTACATTATTTACATTATTCGGACTATTGTCCTCATCTTTGTCGCAATACGTTGTACGCTCCGGCCTTCTTCAGGCGGTTGGAATGTCGAAATGGACCCTTTATTTCGCTCGCTGGGGTAGACTATTCTAGGACACATGGCACAGTAGATAAAGGCGTTAGTTAGATCGAGTGACAGGACCCAAAGAGTGTGAGTTCAATAACCGGTTAAGGCAATGAAGAACTCGGAGATAGGAATTAACAGGAGATAACTGATAACTGACATCCATTAAAACATGGCACGTGGAACTAGAACAGTCTACCCCAGTGAGCGAAATAAACGGTTGAGTTCGGCATTTCAACCACCTGAAGAAGGACGGGGCGTTGTAATAAATATGGCGACAAAGATGAGGATAATAGGGTGTGTTGTGGCCTCTTTCTGTCTGTTTGTTATTGAATACCTTCTCGGATTTTGGAGATAGACCCCCATAACCATATATGTTCTGAAACTAAATTACCTTAGTATATTTCATTTGGCTCAAAGGAGGTATCAGTGGAGGGAACAACACCCCCACTGATTTTTTTCTCTTTCCATATAAATTACATTTAAATTTGAATAAGGGAATGTCATTTTGATCAAAAGGGGGCCACAGGGGGCACAAAAACCCCAACTGAAGTTTTTCCTTTTGATCTAAATTTTAATTTTAACAAGGGAATGACAACTCTCCAAAATATAGAAGGAGAAAGCCAGAAGATGGAGGTCACATCGGCAAGATCAAAAGAAGACAATATGGAAGTCAGGTTGAGCAAGAATTCACTAATCACTGGGTAGTGCCTTAAAATACATATTTGTTGCGACAATTTGCCTGTCATATCAATGTTGAAATCTTCTCATCAATTCATTCAATCATCAAATAGCATCAATTACATATCAAAGGGATCAGAACAAGCAGTTTTTGCACAAAGCCCCCACTGAAAATGATTTCCCTTGGATTTAATTTAAATTTAAAATTAAACAAAGGAATGACTCCTATCCAAAATATAGAAGGAGAAAGTCAGAAGATGGAGGTCACATCGGCAAGATCTTTGAGTAATACTGAAATGCATCATTTTCCTCCATAAATTATGACAACGATTTAAAAACTTACAAAAAATGTGTGACACGCAGCAAGGCGCTGGTAATTCGGCTAGTATATATATATAAAATTAAGAAGAAGGAAATTCACATGGAAAATATTTTATTAAATACAGATTTTATTTTTACCCCTTTTTTATGTTAACGTTTTCGAACATTTTACATATCAAGATAAAGAAAACTATCTTTTGATGACACTGAGCTCAGTGAGAATGGTAAATAAAAAAAAATATCTTCGAGATGTTACTGTTTACTGTATTCGGTATCGAAGCATTAGGTAAACAGGAAATATTCTTCGTTGATATATGTACGAGGTTCTGTAAACTCCCAGGGATATTTTGGCATTGTTCGAAATTTCAGCGACATATTTGTACAGTCAACTCCTAGAAGTAATTATGTAAATATAGTAAGTACTGATTAAATTCATCTTAGTTTGGCAAAAAGCCAAAAGCAGTAAGAATCGAACTAACTGAAAGTATTTTTTTAATCATTTCACCCCAAGCAAGGCGATAATGTCACTAAGATGGAATGGTTTACTGAGAGTCTAGCTCAATGAAATGGAACAGTTTAGGTGTTAAACATCATAAGTTTATTATGGTACCGATTTTAGAAGTGTTCAATATGTGCACCGCCTGTGACACGCGCACGTCTCGTCGGTAGTGGAGCTCTTGCCAAACACGTTGTAGCATGTCTACGGTAACATTATCCAGTGCAGATGTGATTCTCTGCTTGAGTTCATCAATGCTAGTAGGAATTATAAGATCAGGAAACGTTTATCAATGCTTTATGTTAAAGAATGAAAATGAAGAGAAAAGAAAATAAAATTCTAGTATTTTTTTGCTTTTGAATTCTTTGCTTATCATAGGTCAGGAATGATAAGATATTCGAACTATTTTGAAATCAAATAATCTAACTTATTAAAAAAAAATTTAATATAATTTATATGTTAAACGGAGAAATGATTAAAGAATGATTGTAATCCTAACTGATAAACCGTAAATAAAAGAAATAAAAAAACTTCACATTATTTTAAAAGCAATTTTTATTTTTGTTTAATTCTTCATATATTTTTATGGGACCATTTCATAAGTGTCAAATATGCACATGTATCCAGTTGTCTTGCCAAACACGTTGTAGCATGTCTACGGTAACATTATCCAGTGCAGATGTGATTCTCTGCTTGAGTTCATCAATGCTAGTAGGAATGATAAGATAAAGAACAAGTAGGAAACGTTTATCAATCTAATATCTTCCCTTATGTTAAAGTTTTATTAAAGAATGAAATATGGAGAGAAAAGAAAATAAAAATTCTAGTATTTTTATTTTTGAATTCTTTGCTTTTCATCGGTCAATCATGTATCCAGTGTATTCGACTATTTTGAAATCAAGTACGTTCGACTTGTTAAAAAAATATTAATATAATTTATAGCTTTCCGAATTCAAGGAGAAACGTACAAATCCTAAGAAATTATCTGATTGTGATCCTCACTGATAAACCGTAAATATTGCTTGATGTGTGTAAGTCTACAGGGTGGCCTAAAAAAACATCACGTCATTTTAAAAGCAATTATCTTGAACACTACTAAGTCTAGCTCAATGAAATTGAAGAGTTTAAGTGCTGAACATCAGAAGTTTATTATGGGGCCGATTTCATATATGTTCAATATGTTCATCGCCTGTGACACGGCATACGTCAAGTCAGTAGATAAGCTTTTGCCAAAAACGCTGTAGCATTTGTTTAAAGCAATTCACCCCAAGCAAGGCAGGAGTGTCACTAGCACGCAAAGGGTTACGGAGGATTAATTACAAGAGTAACGAGGCGTGTTTGGGGGAAGGAAACAAAGAAGGACAGGGAACAAGATAAAGGTAAAAGATGTCGATTGACATTACACTTAAATATTTGAAGATTATAGTTATCGGGGAAGCAAGCAAGGGAAAGGGAGTTCCACAGGCGGGAAGTGCGAGAAAAGAAGCTGTTTGAGTAGAAGAGACGGTTACATTTAACCGTTTTCGACAGTGAAAGGGTGGGATCGAGATGCCAGCCTAGTAGCTCGCTTAAATTCATGCAGTCTGAGAACCAGAGAAAGTAGCTCCTCGGAACACTTGCCGTGAAATTACTTGTAGAAGAGACAGAGAGAAGCCACGTCACGTCTGTGAGAAAGTGAATGTAAACTAGATGCCAGATCAGAACCTATCACATTGCATGTCTCCGGTAACATTATCCAGTACGGAAGTGATTCTCTGCTTGAGTTAATCAATGCTAGCAGGAAGAGTGTGGGGCGGGCATAGACCAATCCCTTCACATTTCCCCATAAAAAGAAATCATACGGGGACATGTCAGGTGACCGTGGCGGCCATTTCATCAGAAAACTGTCTTCATCTCAACCACGATCGATCCATCTCTCAGTCAGATTCTGATAGAGATAAAAATAAAACATTAAATATCAAATCTTGATCTGTTTCTAGGACATTCTGTGAAAAATTGAGGTTATTTCAACAAGAATTGCCAAAATTGTTGGCGCGTGTAATGATGTCATTTTTTTTTTTTTTTTTGGGGGGTGCACAATGTACAGTGTTTAGAAAGATATAAAATGACGATTCGATTTGCATTTAAATAAGAAGAATCTGGAAGAGAGTTCCACAGGCGAGAAAAGAAACAATTTAAATAGAACAGACGGTTGCCTCTAGCAAGTTCAACATAAAAACGGAGAGACCTAATAGCCAATCTAGTACCACGCTTAAAATCGTGCAGTCGAGGTACCAAGGAGGAAACCTTATCAGAACAAATGCCATGAATTTATTTTGTAGAAATGACAGGTGGGGTCACGTCACAGCGGCGAGAAAGTGACTGAAGTCGAGATGCCAGGTCAGGATGGATAACATTTGCAGATACTTGTTCAGATTTTGTCAAGAATCTCGACATGTACAGTGCACTCCCGTCTCGATGATCCTGAGAGCGCGGGATTCGGAGCCATTGTTGCGGAAGGCTAGGGTATTGCTGAGAGACAATGCCTAAGCGCCGTACAGAGGGGACATTGGCGTTATAAACACTTAACTTGGTACATCGGGAGAAGTCGCTGCGCCGCCATAGACGTCTGCCGGGTTATCACATCGATCTTGCAGTCAGTGCGCTTTTTCTGTTGATCTACATGAGATCAACAAAAGACGTCGGCTGCTCCTGAAATTATTTCTATTCTGACTGACTATTTAACCCATATATGGGGGAAGATGTGTTCATGCTTATGAATATCCTCATAATCATGTCCCATGATCGGCCGTGTTCACTGAGTAGCCACCTCTCGACATATCTCTTTTGCGTGCCATTGTCGGAATTTCTGTTAATGATCTCGCAGTCCAATCAGGGATGTCTTCAACTCATTCTTTCCTTAACTTCAAAAAGACTTCTTTTATCAGAATAAGTTATTTTCATCACAGAAAACTCTCTTTCAGTCTCCTCAGAACTTTCGGTTGTGTTATTAATTATATATTTAGCTCTTTGGATACAATGTATTTATGGTAATTTCTCATTAGGTTTTCAAACGTAATCACGAAAACCATTAGCAGAAATCCCATATGTGTCGTGTGTTGAGTGGTGCCGTGTGTTTAACCCCACATTAAATTTAGCCTTGTGCCACATGTGACTGCGTGGCACAAATAGCATCGGGGACGAGGGAGCCGACGAGAGACGACTGCCCTGTACGCAAGACGACTGCCCTGTACGAGAGACGACTGCCCTGTACGAGAGACGACTGTTCCAGCGGGTACTTTTTGGCGTGATGGCTACATGGTGTAAGTTTATTGCGCGAGAATAAGGCTTGGTTTAGGTTGTGGTTTATTTTGTTTTACGGCATATTAACCTCAATCAGTTATTTAATGCCGGCAAAATAAAGAAAACTTCGCCTTCTGCCTAAGGTGGCACCTTGTAGGATTGCAATGGAAACATTAAATGTTCATATTCACTTGATATTCGAATAATTTTCCTCACGCGATTAATTCATAATTTTAATTTACTGAATGTATTTTTATCAGTTTTGCCGCCTTCTTAATGGGGACACGTCAGATGTCTGCACGTTAGTATTTGATTTTTTTTTTTGTTGTTGTTGATTCTCTTTTCTTTTCTTTTTTTTGTGTTTCTTGTATGTTATTTCTTTTGGCTCAAAATGACTCAGACAGTTGACGTGTTAGCACGAAGCTTTGGCATTCGCGCTTGTGAATTGTTCCAATTAAGAAGATCACGAAATTCGTTTTAAAAAGAAATTATGAAAGAAGACCATAAAGATTAAAAGAATGAACGAAAAACACACACACGTTGTGAAAGATTAAATATTTTAGGGTTTTTTTTTTTCAAAAAAGAAAGAAAGAAACGGATAATTCCAGTGGACTTGATTTAACGAATCCTTTAATTTTCTGACATGATTAACATCATTTATTGCGAAACAAATGACGATGCAACAACATCTCTTTCAATAAGGCTTCAATCTGTAGCATTGTTCCTGTCATAAAAGATATCAGTTACCTATTTCTCGATAAACTACATCCAGCGGCAAGGTCTCTGATTGGGCGGTTTTAAGGAGCGTGTAACCACCTCTTAATTACTGTTCTTCCCAGGTTCACCCTGACCCGAGGTCGTTGCACCTGTTAGGACATTCCTGGGTATAACGATAAACTACATCCGGCAGCAAGGCCTCTGATCCGGAGGTTTTAAGAAGCGTGTATATATCTCTTCATTGTTGGTGTTCCCAGGTTCATCTTAACCCTGAATGGTAGTACTTGTTAGGGTCCCAGCTATGGGCAATTAGTTAACCTCCAAACTGTTGTGAAAACACTATAAGTATAAAATAGATTTTGATAATTGTTGAAACTTGACTAATGCATGGAATAATAATGCAACACAAAATGTACTTAGAACAAAATGTATTGAAACAAGAAAGTGTACACAATATTTACATATAATCTTTTGTATATTTCTGGTAAGACCGTTCCTGGAGAATGTGTTGACTGAGTCGCAGTCGGGCAGAGTCTCTGGTTGAATCTCTTGATTCCTCCCCCCGTCTTCCCGATACCAACCATATTTATATGGTTGGTACTCCACTATGCAAATTAGATGGATCCTACCACAACAATAATACAAATGTCAGCTATACATTTTCATAGTAAAAACATTACCAGTTATACATTTTCAAAAGAATTTTAAACCCTCATAATTATGTTGTACCCAAATTTATCCAAAGAGCTAAATATATAATTAATACAAAAGCTTTTAATTCTGTTATCTTAAAAAGATTTTAAATAACTTATTCTGATAAAAAAATAATTTTGAAAAAAAATGTGTCAAATCTTCTAGTCATAAATTTGATATGTCTTCCATTGCATCTTTGGGACTGGAGCGATTCAGTTCGAATGTGGTTAAGAAAACAATAACCCAACTGATGACAGGGGAGTTAAAATCTTCATACTTCTGAACAGAAATATAATGGGAACAAAATTTCAATCTGGAAATGTTTTTTTTTTATTAAATTAGCAAAATGGTCAAATTCTTCTTGATATTATAAAGTGATTTGTTTCCATTCGCAGATTGAAAAGAAAATAAGCAAAATAGTTTCCTGAAAATTATCTATACTTATAGAACCGGTTCCTGGAAATTTAGGATGCCACTACTGTATACAAGGATGATCGGTTCTTTAAGGACATGTCTTTTAATAGTTCTAATTTTTTATAGAACCGGTTCCTGGAAAATCTCATAGAATTATGCCTTGTACCACAGCATTCAGTGTGATGGCATATGCAATAACTCTCGTCGCATAAATCATAAAATTCATGAATTAATACTGTAAACCCAAATTCTTGGACTATGGAAGAAGCTGTAGTTCCCTGGAAAGATATTGAAGAAAAGTGTTACTGGACGTTTTGTCATGTTTCTCGCTATAATTTCTCTTAATGATTTCCGTGTTTATGTTAAAAAGCTTAACAACCCCAATTTTTTTTAAAAAATGAGCTAAAAATATAATTAATACCACTGCTTATGTTCTACAGAGGCTGAAAGAAGGATTTCTGGGATAAACGTAATTTATTCTGACAAAAGAAATTATCTTGATGTTAAAAATGTGTCAAATCTTCTAGTCATAAATTTGATATGTCTTCCATTGGATCTTTGGGACTGCAGCGATTCAGTTCGAATGTGGTTAAGAAAACATAGCACAGCTGATGACACTTGAGTCAAGATGAATCATAATTTAACGATTTAATATTTTGTTAATATAAAAAATAAAAAACGCCATAAAGATTAAAAGAATGAACGAAAAACACACACGCACGTTGTGAAAGGTTAAATATTTTAGGGGTTTTTTTTCAAAAAAGAAAGAAAGAAACGGATAATCCCAGTGCACTTGATTTAATGAATCCTTTAATTTTCTGACATGCTTAACATCCTTTATTGCCAAACAAATGGCGATGCAACAACATCTCTTTCAATAAGGCTTCAATCTGTAGCATTGTTCCTGTCATAAAAGATATCAGTTACCTATTTCTCGATAAACTACATCCAGCGGCAAGGTCTCTGATTGGGCGGTTTTAAGGAGCGTGTAACCACGTCTTAATTACTGTTCTTCCCAGGTTCACCCTGACCCGAGGTCGTTGCACCTGTTAGGGCAGTCCTGGGTATGACGGTAAACTACATTCGGCAGCAAGGTCTCTGATTGGTCCGTTTTGAAATCACGCAACAACCTCTTAATTGCAGTTGTTCCTAGGTCCACCCTGAACCGAGTTGGTAGCTCCTATTAGGGCAGTCCTGGTTATAACGATAAACTACATCGGGCAGCAAGGCCTCTGATCGGGTGGTTTTAAGGAACGTGTAACTATCTCTTAATTGCTGCTGTTCCCAGGTTAACCCTGACCCGAGGTGGTTAGACCTGTTAGGGCAGTCCTGGGTATGACGATAAACTACATCTGCTGTTCCCAGGTTCACCCTGACTCCATAACTCACTGACTGAATCTTGGAATATAACTTTTCTATTAACAGCGAATCAAAATGCGTTGGACAGAAATACCTTACCACTCGCTTGCCGCACAGATTTTCCTTGGACTTTGATGATACGTGTCTTGCTTTGTGGGGGGTTGTCAATGTCCGATGTCATCCGGAACGCTTCTCATTGACATTCTGAACATTTTCCTTGGCTTCAAACTGATCTCTAATTCGAGTGATGGTAAATAGCTTTGGTGTATCTGTTTGGAACATTGGAATATAATAAAAAAATGTTTTTTTGTGTTGCTGGTGTTACAGACACTTTGGGCGATTATCTGCCGTTTGGTACGACGAATTACGAGGTTCACGTGACGATTGGTGAATGAAGTCGATTGGTCAGGTGACGAACCTCACTTGCTATGTAGACCGCGAGGATGATAGACGTGATAGCCCGCAGCAGTAAGGCGAAAAAAATGGAAACCAGGTGGTCTCAACAAGGAACATAAAAGACAAAACTAGCCTAAACTTTTTAGCTTCTGTTGACCCCCGTTCATACTGGTTGTTTCTTCCATCTCTGTTATAGTTTCCTTGTGCGGGACAAATAGTCGCAGGAATTAAGGTTTTATTTTTACACTATTTACTTGCGGTCTATTTTCTTCATCTTTGTTTTTTTTTTTATCACAACGTTTCGGTCTTTGTGCCCATTTGAACTTCATCAGAAGTAAGTCGATCCAGGTGACAAGATGACATAAACAAGATGAAGACTAATAATAACAATGAGGAATAATAGTTTCTGAGGTCATTCATGTTGGTAGAATTACTAATACTTTAACATCTACCATGGAAAATAATTTAACGATTTCCAAAGATATTACCTTGTGCCTTATAACACTGATATTAATTTAATATTCTTCTTTGATTTGGGTTTCTTAGATACAACATACAGTGCCACGCAAAAGTTCCCGACACATTCTCTAATCCGTGTGATGCTAAATAGCACTGGTAGATCTGTTTGAAACCTCTCCTCTACAATGTCTTTGTACCTCAACTGTGTTTTCACGATTCCAGTAGCATTTTGGAATGAACTTCATTTGTTCAAAGCTTAGTTTGGCTGCCATCATTAATTAACCTGGAAATAAAAAAAAATCAAATAAACTATCAGCTGTTAAAGCATGTATCCATTTTGTGGGGTGGGAGACACCCTGTACACATACATAGAGTGCCATGCAAAAGTTTACAACACGTTAAAAAATGTTTTTTTTTTTAGGTATTTCTAATACAATTACATTAATTAAACTTTTACTGCTTGTAGAACATATATTTAGATATTCAGTCAAATAATCAAATATCCAACGAAATATGCTTCGAAGTAGACGCCCTGGGCGACTATACACGGAAAAGCACATTTTGTTCGAGCACGCTGTTGAAAATGCCGGTACATAGATAGATAGATAGATAGATAGATAGATAGATAGATATGAACAGAGATAAATAATGAACATAATGAGATAGATAATGGACAAAGTGAGATAGATAGATAGATAGATAGATAGATAGATAGATAGATAGATAGATAGATAGATAGATAGATAGATAGATAGATATTAACAGTGATAGATATAAGGATAGATATAAACATAGATAGATAGATAGATAGATAGATAGATAGATAGATAATGAACATAATGAGAAAGATAATGAACATAGATATATAGATAGTGTTATGGGACCTTACCCATAATAACATAATGGATTATTCCATACGTAACAAATACTGCGCCTCAAGAGGAAGCAGGGAGTTCCATCTGAAGTCTAGAGTTCCGTCTGAAGTCTAGAGTGAAATCTGGGGTGAGGTCCGTCAGAAGTCTGTCAGTCGAGTCAGAGGCAGTCCGAAACAGAGATGCGTTCAGACAATTACTACTAAATCTGATTGTTCGTACTAATACTTACTATTTCTCTGTATATATTCCTGTTTGTAATATATCTGTGTTATTCCATATCCGTATTCGAGTTCTTCTTTATTGGTTCTACCTTGGACTATCACCGTGGTACGAGGAACCGGACCATAACAGATAGATAGATAGATAGATAGATAGATAGATAGATAGATAGATAGATAGATAATGAATATAATGAGATAGATAGATAGATAGATAGATAGATAGATAGATAGATAGATAGATAGATAGATGTTAACAGTGATAGATATAAGGATAGATATGAACATAGATAGATAGATAGATAGATAGATAGATAGATAGATAGATAGATAGATAGATAGATAGATGCCACTTCGTTGTCGAGCATGACATTCACAAGGTATCATTGTAAGGCGTAGCTGTGCTTTAAATGTGTCTCTTTAAACCGACCAAAATTTTAATATCTCTGACACAAAGTTGGCTGGCATACATTTTCTTTTCTAACTTTTTTTCGCAAAAGTGATAGGCATTATCAGTACTTAATGCCACTCAAGCCGATTGAAAATTTATGGAGAGAGCTGAAAATTCAAAGAAGGGACCCACAAAATCTGAATGAACTAAAGGAATATTATCGAGAAGAATTGAAACATATTAGTCAAGAAACATGCCAGAAATTCGTAGGGGAATCATCTAAAAGCCTACATGCTGTAATTAGCAATAACAGTTACGCTACGAAATATTAATAGGTTATTTAATAAATGTATTATAAACTTTTGCGTTATTAAATATTGTTTTTTCTTTGAGGAATATTTTTATTTATTATTTTTTTCAATATGATTGTTTGATTAAAGGCTTAAACATGTGTATTATTAGCAGTAAAAGTTTCATTAATACCTAACGAAACCTGTCTTGGGTATAAAGATAAACAACATACGACTCCTGGGTATGATGATAAGCTACATCCGACAACGTGGCCTCTGATAAGGAAGTTTTGAGGAGTGTGGAACCACATCTTAATTGCTGGTTTTCCCAGGTCCACATTAACCCGGAGTCCCAGCTATGAGCAAATAGTTAACCCCACAAAAGGGGTCAAAACACTATGAAAGTAAAAAAAATATGTTTTAATACCAACAATACATTGAAACAAACGAACATATTCGCTGTTTTCTGAGCTGAAAAGAAAAAGCCTCCGTTTATTGACGACTGATATGTCTAATTTATTTTATTGTCTGATTTGACATATAAATCACATTTATTTCTTAGTCGGGGAGTTGCGTCCTCTCCATCATCAGATGGGCTTAATGTTTACAGTGAAAGTTTTACGACTTACCTGAATATGATTCGTTATTATCCACGAATTTCAGCCTGTTCTCTCCCAACACAAGGCTCGGGTGTTACTGTACAAAAAAGGCAATGAAGAATGAATTGCGTGAGGTGAATGAAAGGGGTGTGAAGAAGCGAAGACTATGACGATAAGAAGGATAGAAAAGGTCAAGAGGTTAAGATTGGGATGTTTATAGAAGCATCCTCGTGTCATTTTCTCCCACAGAGTACCTGTTCTAAATGGATGTAATCTAGAAATCCCAGACAACCTCAAAGAGAGATACTTTCAAGCCACTGTAGAGGCAGTGTTAATATACGGCGCCACTGCCTGGACATTAAATAAAACCCTAGAGTCTAAGCTTGATGGAACCTACACTCGGATGCAGAGAGCTATACTTAGAATCTCTTGGTGATGACATCCTGCTAAATCACAGCTCTATGGACCCATTTCTGATATTTCTACAATCTTAAACCCTTGAGTCTAAACTTGATGGAACCTACGCTCGGATGGTGGGAGCTATATTTAACATCTCTTGGAGACAACATCCAACTAAATCACAGCTCTATGGACCCATCTCTGATATTTCTCCAATCTTAAACACTAGAGTCTAAGCTTGATGGAAACTACACATTTGGATATGAGAGCTATATTTAAACTTAACATCTTGGAGACAACATCCAAGTAAATCACAGCCATTATGGACCCATCTCTTGATATTTCTACAATCTTAAACCCTAGAGTCTATCCTTGATGGAACCTACACTCGGATGCTGGGAGCTATATTTAACATCTCTTGGAGACAACATCCAACTAAATCACAGCTCTATGGACCCATCCCTGATATTTCTACAATCTTAAACCCCCTACAGTCTAAACTTGATGTCAGAAACATTGAAATACACATCTCTGGATATTGAGAAATATAGCTTAACATCTCTTGAAGACAACATCCAACTAAATCACAGCTCTATGGACCCATCTATGATATTTCTACAATCATTAACTTAGATCACAGTCTATGGCTTGATGGAATCTACAGTCGGATATTGAGACTTGGATATACTATAACATCTCTTGGAGACAACATCCAACTAAATCACAGCTCTATGGACCCATCTCTGATATTTCTACAATCTTAAACCCTACAGTCTAAGCTTGATGGAAACTACACTCGGATATTGAGAGCTATACTTATCATCTCTTGGAGACAATATCCAAGTAAATCACAGCTCTATGGACCCATCTCTGATATTTCTACAATCTTAAACCCTACAGTCTAAGCTTGATGGAAACTACACTCGGATATTGAGAGCTATACTTAACATCTCTTGGTGACAATATCCAAGTAAAGCACAGCTCTATGGACCCATCTCTGATATTTCTACAATCTTAAACCCTACAGTCTAAGCTTGATGGAAACTACACTCGGATATTGAGAGCTATACTTAACATCTCTTGGTGACAATATCCAAGTAAAGCACAGCTCTATGGACCCATCTCTGATATTTCTACAATCTTAAACCCTACAGTCTAAACTTGATGGAACCTACACTCGGATATTGAGGGCTATACTTAACATCTCTTGGAGACAATATCCAACTAAATCACAGCTCTATGGACCCATCTCTGATATTTCTACAATCTTAAACCCTAGAGTCTAAGCTTGATGGAACCTACACTGGATATGAGAGAGCTATACTTAACATCTCTTGGAGACAACATCCAACTAAATCACAGCTCTATGGACCCATCCCTGATATTTCTACAATCTTAAACCCTAGAGTCTAAGCTTGATGGAACCTACAACACTGAGTCTAAGCTTGATGGATTTGAGACATCTAAATTAAATCACAGCTCTTGGACCCATCCCTGATATTTCTACAATAAACCCTAGAGTCTAAGCTTGATGGAACCACGGATGATATTCTAATGGAGACCATCAATTAAATCTGATATTTCACTGATATTTCTACAATCTTAAACCCTAGAGTCTAAGCTTGATGGAACCTACACTCGGATGCTGAGAGCTATACTTAACATCTCTTGGAGACAACATCCAACTAAATCACAGCTCTATGGACCCATCCTGATATTTCTACAATCTTAAACCCTAGAGTCTAAGCTTGATGGAACCTACACTCGGATATTGAGAGCTATACTTAACATCTCTTGGAGACAACATCCAACTTAAATCACAGCTCTATGGGAGACTGAATTTCTACAATCTTAAATAGAGTCTAAGCTTGATGGAACCTACACTCTGGATGCTGAGAGCTATACTTAACATCTCTTGAGACAACATCCAACTAAATCACAGCTCATGGACCCATCCCTGATGATATTTTCTACAATCGGATTAAACCCTAGAGTCTAAGCTTGATGGAACCTACACTCGGATGCTGAGAGCTATACTTAACATCTCTTGAAGACAACATCCAACTAAATCACAGCTCTATGGACCCATCCCTGATATTTCTACAATCTTAAACCCTAGTGTCTAAGCTTGATGGAACCTACACTCGGATGCTGAGAGCTATACTTAACATCTCTTGGAGAAAACATCCAACTGAATCACAACTCTATGGACCCATCTCTGATATTTCTACAATCTTAAACCCTAGAGTCTAAGCTTGATGGAACCTACAGAACACTGCTGGAGAACAAAACAAGAGCTATACTTAACATCTCTTGGAGACAAATATCCAACTAAATCACAGCTCTATGGACCCATTGACTGATATTTCTACAATCTTAAACCCTAGAGTCTTTTTTTTGATGGAAAACCTACACTCGGATGCTGAGAGCCTTAACATGGTTGAGACAACATCCAATTAAATCACAGCTCTATGGACCCATCCCTGATATTTCTAAATGCTAAACCCTAGAGTCTAAGCTTGATGGAACCTCGACTAAAGATGCTGAGAGCTATATTAACATCTCTTGGAGACACCATCCAACTAAATCACAGCTTATGGACCCCATCCTTGATAAAATTTAAACCCTAGAGTCTAAGCTTGATGGAACCTACATTCGGATGCTGAGAGCTATACTTAAATCTCAGAGACAACATCCAATTAAATCACAGCTCTATGGACAAAATCTGATATTTCTAAAACCTATAAACCCTAGAGTCTAAGCTTGATGGAACCTTACACATGGATGCTGAGAGCTATATTTAAATCTCTTGGAGACAACATTAGAATAGAAATCAGGGTTCTTGGACCCATCTCTGATATTTTAAATCTTAAACCCTAGAGTCTAAGCTTGATGGAATCTACACTCGGATATTGTGGGCTATACTAGCTCTTGGAGACAATATCCAACTAAAGCACAGCTTTATGGACCCATCTCTGATATTTCTACAATCTTAAAGCCTAGAGTCTAAGCTTGATGGAACTTACACTCGGATATTGAGGGCTATACTTAACATCTCTTGGAAACAATATCGAACTAAAGCACAGCTCTATGGACCCGGCCCCGATAATGCAACAGTCTTACACGAACGCAGAATGCGCTTTTCAGGACTCTACTGGCGAGCAAAACAAGAACTTGCGAAGGGTCTACTGATTCAGTTAAATAGTAAATTGGTGAGAGCCAGTTGCTATCAAGCTATTTAGTATGAAAAACGATTCTCTTACATACTTTATTTAAGAAATTCTTATTTGGCAATAGAACAAATCGCCATTGTTGCAACAAGCAAGGATGTGATTGGATTTAAATATCTTCCTATATGCAATATATCGGTTACGCTGATATAAGTTTTATGACTTTTTTCTGGAAGACAGTAAAACTCCATTGACGCTTCCATCAGCGCCTGCTTAATTGATCTGAAGGCAATTTCAAGATCTGACCAGATGTAACACTGTGCGGCTGGCTGGGATAAGACTTATTATCTGAAGTAATGAGGTCGTCTACTCAATTGAAGCAAAGTTACACTGTTGTCATTAGGTCACATATTTAATTTAAGTAGAGTTGAGTAAATATTCTGTTGTCTACTTTAATCTATACGTATGCAGATGTTACAAAGATCAGATGTTCTATTGTTTAGGTAGTGTGACCACAGA